TGTCCATGGACTTCTGCCTACTAGCAGATATAACAGTAAGTGTTATCACTGTTATCGGGGATGAAATGTGGGGAGGGTCGTTAAGGGATGAAATGGGGTGAAACACGACTATTTCTTAATTGAAAATTTTGCGGTATTTTTTCTTTTAGCAACTAAATTTTTATTGATTTAAAAAAAAAATTGTCAAATACATACAGGGTGTGTCAGATTTTGTGCCCCAGAGAAAAATCTCAGGAACATGATAAAATATTTCAAAAATTTTATCTGTCGAAAAATTATTTAACATTTTTTATGTCCATTTAATGATACTAGTGATCTCAAAATCTCAAAAAAATTGATAGTGGTGTTATTTTGTTTGTGTCACTCAATCTAAATGGTTTTTGAGTAAAATTAGGAGAAAAATGAGCCGAGAAACGACAAAATTTGGTCGAAAATACAAATTTTTCGAGAGATTTCACTAAAACATTAATTAATTAATTTCATAAAACAAATTAAGTTTTTCAGCTGGAAACACAATATAATTTTACTAAATTTTGTTCAAAACAAGTCAAAAAGTTGACAAAATAGGCATTTTTTAGTGTTTATCATTTTTGAGATAAAAATAAATGAAATTTGAGAAATTAAAAAAACAGACGCTCATTAATTTTGCAAGGTTATGTCCAAACATGTTAAAAATTGGAAAAAAAATATTATTTTGTTTGTTTCACTTGATTTAAATGGTTTTTGCGCAAAATTAATTCAAAAATAAGCCAAAAAAAAAAAAAACACAAAATTTGGTGAAAAATGCTTGTTTTTGTAAAAAATCTCAAAGTTTTCGCTATATTTCAATAAAACAAACCAAAAAAAATAAATTTCCAGAGTGTTTTAGCACATTTTTAAATAAAATCGAAATTATTTCGTAAAATTTGTTTGAATCTTTGTACCTCAAAGTAATCTTTCAATTTTCACATTGCATTTGTTAAGTCTTTAAAATAATTTCTCTTTTTCTTTAAAAGTCTTTAGTTTTTGTCTCTTTAACCTTTATTTTCGTCTTTGTACACAGGTTTATCCATATTTTAATATAAAAATTTCTCAAAGATACTTTCTTTCAAATTGCAAGCTTTAAATCTGTACAATCCTTAAATTATCTTCACTTTTCTGTTTCTGCTGTTTTTTACAAACATGTCTAAAAATAACAAAAATAGATTGTAATTGATGTTGTTTTGTTTGTTTCACTTGATTTAACTGATTTTTGAGTAAATTTAAGATAAACATTAACCGAGAAACTGCAAAATTTGGTCAAAAATGCTATTACAGACGTTTTTATACTAAAATCTTAGTTGTTTTGAAAGATTTTGCTGAAACAATTTAAAAAATCAACAAAATAAGTCAAAAAATATATTATTTCTGCATTTTTCGACCGTTTTAGCACGTTTTTCAGCTAGAAACGCAATTATTTCCCAAAATTTTAAATTTTTTTAAACATTTTTTCGTAACGTAAAAGTTTTACTTTTCAGACATGGAGCAAAAATTCTATTTTTGTGCCTCAGCGTTTTGACTTTTACCAATGTTGTTTCTTTCTTGTCTCTTTTAGTCTTTTGCTGTTTCAGCAATTTTTGGATAGGTATGTACATTGTAGATAGATTTCGCATTACTACCTCAACTAAAATGAAAATTTCAATACAAATTCCGATACTGAAACGTGATTTTTTTTCATAAGCGTTGTTACGACTTTATTACTTGCAAAGCGCCCTGATTATTTTGTTCATTTACTTGCTAATTATAGTGTTGCTCTATCACTTTTACTTATTCTTGGACCTGTAATATGAAAGACAAATTTTAATAGATTCCCAATTATTATTATTAAAATCAATTTCTCGTAATTTTCAAGAATTGCAAAAGTAGTCAAAAATATGAAACCAGACATAAAAACGTGTTAGAAGAAAGTCAAAAAACTGTTTCAGTAATAATTTTTTCAAGAACAAAACGAGCAAAAATGTATTTTTACACAGTTTTACGTCAGAATGTTTTGTAATAGTAAAAAATGCGTGTTTTGGTTTTTTATCATCTTCAGGGTTCAAGTCAGTCGTTCTCAAAATTATTTTTAACACAGAATTTAAGTCGAAGAAAATCGAAAAAAAAAGCAAATACAAATGTTTTCATGAAACTTTTAAAAACAGAGTAAAATATTTGAGAATTTACACTTTTTAGTTATTGCAGGACCATATTTGACATAATTACGAACTAAGTAGTGATCAATTAAATAAAAAATTTCTTAAAAAAAATCCACTAATTGAAAAAACCTAAAAATTGCTCTCAATATTTAACCAATAAAAATGAAACCACAGCAAAGTGGAAATTGGTGTTTTAAATAAATCAAAAAAAAATTCAAAAAAGAGTATCTGTTTTTCAAAAAACTAAAAAGTAGATAAAAAAAATCTCATTCTTGGCCCTGTAATATGAAAGCTAAATTTTAATAGATTATTCCCAATTATTTAAATTATCTGAAAACTTCAGGATGCGTTTCAGCCGAAACATAATTAAAACCCAATTTTGTAGTAAATTTCTTTGTTAAAAGTTAAAATCAGGGCAATACAATTTCAGAAAATTTCAGTAAACAAGAATTGCATTGTGAAAGTTGCTATATTTTAAAAACAGAATTTTTTAGCAAAAACCTAGATTTTGTAGTAAAATTTAGACTTCTCATATTGATATTTGTTAAATTTAGTAACAAAAACCTCTATTTTAGCAATTGTTGAAAAGCAAAATGTCAAAGAAGCAATAAAACACATTTTTTAGTTCGATTTTAGAATTTTTTTCAAATTTTTTGTAATTGGTGCACTTTGTCTAAATTTACTAAATATTCACTGTTACCGGGGATGAAATTTGATACAACAGCTTCTACGACCGGATAATTTCTTGAGTGAAAATTTTTCTTCACTCAAAAAAATGAGAAAAAAGTTTTATTGGTGATTATTTCAGCGCTTGAGTTTTATAATGGACAAAGTGGAATTGCGAAAGTCGCCCTCGYGTTTCATTTTTGAGGTCTCGACTACTCAAAGAACTTCATTCTTTTCGCGTAAATTATTCGCGAGTTTCAGTTGACTTTTTCTTTGGTGTGAAAGCCGCTGTTTTGGCTCTTCTGAATAAAATATTTCAGTTGGGTTCAAGTTTAAAAATCGCGAGGTGGGAATAAAACAATGAAATAGTTTCGTGTCCAATTCCCAAAAATGGGAAACACGATGAAGAGGAATTGTTTTGCGAGGGTCACCCTGTAGTGGATTTTGAAACGTCTCGAACTTGGATTATCTACACGTGACTAAAAATAGACGAGCTAATTAAACATGGAACATTCCAAATAGTAACCTTGCGAAGAGATTATTTCGCACGCGATTTATTTTCAACAGAGAATACTTTTGGGTGATTACAAATGTTTTTTCCAATTTCGAATAATCACTCTTTTTGGTGATTTATCATTCGGTGGACTAAATCCAATAGTTTGAGAGGATCACAAAAAGGGGAAATATTGGGAAATTTCCAATTAATTTCGGATAATGAAACGGTTTTTGTTTAGCGAAATTGAGTGGTCAATGCAAAAACAAATTGAATTAGCTTCAACGAAATTTGTAACAATTTTCAACTTGTTGAAAGATTTAAAATTGTTTGTTTCTCTTGCTGAAATTCATTGAGTTCTTGAAATATATTTCAGACGCGTCAATATTTGTCGTGTTTGTGCAAAATTAGGAAAATATGGTGTTTTCAGGTAAATATGACAGAAAGGTGCTGAAAAGTTGATACAAACATGAAAGGAATTGTAAAGTTGTTTCAGTATTGAAAGATTTAGAAATTTCAGCGTCGAACAATAATACTGTAAATTTATGTTTTTGAAAATAGGAAATGACACAAAATTTTGCAAATTGCGCAAGTTTATTGAACGGTGGCAAAAATTCGACAATTGACAACATCAACAAAATTTGTTACTTAAATATTTTTTGTTTGAAAAAATTCCATCAAACTGAAATTATTGTGGCTTTTAGTGTCATTCCAAATTTTTTTCAGGATTAAAACATTAGAGTGAAATATTGTTTCAATAAATCGAAATTTACTGAAAAAAAATTGAGTCTGACAAAATTCCCACTGTCCCACTTTATTTTCTAAATTCCCGCAAATTTATCAAAGATTTGTTAAAATATTTTACCACTTGGTGAAAACTTAAAATTAAATAGAATATTTTAGTCGCTAGTTGCGGTTTCTTAATTATTTAGKGGTTGCAAWTTTAACTTTGTGTTCRAATCTGGGTTGCAAATTGCTTGTTTTTCTTTCAAAATAARTAAAGTCGGAATTGAATTTAAGAAAWTTATMATAGTTTGAAGAGAAAATAGAGAARATCAATGTTTGAGTTTGACGATTTTGCTGAAATTCATTGAGTTTCTGAAATATWTTTCAGACGTGCTGTTTATTTGGACATGGAGAGACTWATATTTCAGTTCARCGSAAACGTTTTTAATTATTCAGAAAAATATTCAGTGAAGTATTATGAATTTTTGCTTTGTAAATAATAAATGATGCAAAATTCAACAGAAGCTTATTGAATTATTGAAAAAAATTAATTTAGCTTCAGAGAAATTCATGAACCGACTGAAAATATGTCGAATGATTTTGTTCAAACAATTTTGACTTTTGGGATTAATTTTCAGGAATTGATTAATTTCCTGTGTTTCATTGAGTCCTGAAATATATTTCASACGTATCATTTTAWARATMAGATCATAGAAATCAGGAAAATATGGAGTGTTAAGGAAAATATGACGGAAACGTGCTGAAAAAGTTGATACAGACATGAAAGGAATTGTGAAGTGGTTTGAGTACTGAAAGATTTAGAAATTTCAGGACTGAATGAGTTNATAAAGACGTTAACTGAAACTTTTATCGTAAAAAAAGCAACAGAATTAATCTCCCGTTTCAGCTTTGTAGTTACAACAAACACTATTGATTTTGTAACCTGGATAGGGAAGATAATGAGCTTTCAACAATCGGATTATATTATTTCAGGAAAGCGCAGATTTAAAAAAGTAATTGAAGCGTTAAACGCAATTTGTGGTCGATTATTGTTATTTCAAGAACTGCAGTTTCAGTTTTAGCGTCGATCAATACATTTTACATAAAACTTGTTTTAGAATGCAGGAGCTTTCAGTGGTTGGAATATTGCCTGAAAACTTGCTGAAAAAATTCGCTACTTGGAGAAAACTTGAATTTGAATAAAACATTGCTTGTGTTTAAATGTGGGTTACGTTTTGTTTGTTTCTCCGGAGTGGAATTGAATTTCAGGAATTTAAACTAATTTGAAGTGGAAATTGAGAAAATAAATGTTGAAGTGTGACGATCTTGGCGAAATTTATTGAGTTTATGAAATATTTTCAGATGTGCTGTTTATWTGCACAAAATCGCTGTAATTTTGAAACAAACCAGGAGAAAATTGCATTTCAGGTCAACTGAAAACTGAATATTCAGTGAAAGAAATTCATGAAAT